AATATTAAAAATTGACGCCGTTACGAGGCATGTTTAGGCAACAACGTGATTCGGAGTTCGAAGGCGGGGGATTATTTAATCGCAGATATAATCCATCGCCGGAAACACAAAGCCGCGAATATTTAGATTTTACGCTCGCTCGACATTGATAGGACTCTAAAACATGTGTGTTCAATAAAAAAAAAAAAAAAAAAATCATGGGTCATTCTAGTTTCTGAAGGTTGATGACCAGCGAAGCCGTTTTGCACACGACACAGACCCGCCCCGAGGAGCCGGAGGAATCTAGACACGCGCGACGGGAACGCCACCCCGGGAGAGCGGAAGGAAAGGAAACTAGGCACGCAAGCGCTTGGAACGACGACAAAGAGAGGGCGCTGCGAGCGAAGACATGGCCGACGCGGGTGGCACAGCGGCAAATCTTTGAGAAACCTTTATTATCTACCTGAGAGTCTATCGATCTTGAAAACGGTGCCTATTGATAACTAATCTACTGAAAATGCATATTCAAGTGATGAGACGTAAGAGATTTTGCATACAATGAAGCGATTTTGCATTAAATTCAATACCTGAGTTTTTGTTCACACACATGAAAAATCCATGGAACCCTAGCCATAAACAGCTTCGCTGTAAAAGAAATCACGCCGACGTTTTCTTGCTGGGGAAAAAGCCTCGGCACTTTCATTATTGTTTTCACAGAAAATTTTACTCTGCGGGTGATTCTGGAAAAATAGGTAAGGGTACGCTTGATCTTGATTTTTTTACATTTTACCACGTAACACCGTGGTGTAAAATGAACACATGACCAGGTCACATGATGCACTATCGTTGTCCATTGACAAACGTATAACGGGAGCTATAAACATTTCTTCTTCTTAAGAATTGAAAGATCTCTGAGTAGTGATATGGCACGCGGCATTATCGAGAAGATTGCGCTCCTCCGTTCATCAAGAAGATTCGCCTACGCCCTTACCCCAAGAGTAAACGATACGGAGGCCAGAATGACCTTGTCTAGTCAGTATCGCCCTACACTCTCAAAAGAGCCCGTGCGTATACTTTCCCGCATAACACCCGGAAAGCCAATCCCCGCAACTTACGGAGGCAGCTCAGCGAATGACGATGCCGAAACATATGTTTATACCAAAAAAACGCACTCTGAGTTGTGACATGAAGCAATGCAAAACGTCACGCTTGCATTGCTTAATGTCACAACTCAGACTGCGTTTCTTGGTCTAAACATAGTTTCGGCATCGTCATTCGCTGAGCTGCCTCCATACGTTGCTGGGATTGGCTCCTCAAGTGTTGCGCGGGAAAGTAGACGCACGAGCTTTTTTTAGAGAGTAGCTCTTTCCCGAATATTCTAGGCCAAAGATTCAAGATGACGGGCATAGTGGATAAGGACCCGAGCGCCGTATGGCCGATTCATTTCACAGATTCTCTCTCGCGATCGCCAGCTGTTACGCCGACGCACTGTTGCTTGCCGCTGCTGCCGTCGACGCTCGCTGGTGCATTCTCGACCTCTGTCTTTTTTTTTTCGTTTGTGGCACAAACGAAGAATCGCAGAACACAAAAAAGAATATCAACAGTAATATGCGGTAAGATGCAGTAACATAAGGCATAAAATTCTACAATATATTGTTTTTTTCTCGCGAATATTTAATACTATTTTAAATTAAAAAAAAAAGATCGCAGTCTTTTGAGAAAGAGAGGAAACAAAGTTGGGGCTCCAATTCCACGCTGTGAAGTTGGTTGGTCAGCGAAGTTGCGGTATCACCTGCCAACGACTGCCCACTGCACTATACCAAATGATTGACGAAAGACAAGTAACTGCACTGTACAAAAACTTTTCGAAGTCATCCAACCACCGAGCATATGGGTCATGCATTGATCTAACGTTAGCTAAGAATCTGTCTACAGTGATGACGGAAACCCTCCCCGTGTACCACAGTGATTACAAAGCACTTATCAATCATCGTTTGAAAATAAGCTTTGGTACAGTGCATTTACTTTTCTTTCGTCAATCATTCGGCACAGCATGAATTGGAGCACCAACTCTTTTTCTTTTTCTATATTTATTCTGTTCAAAGCGCAGCAAGTTTCCTGCTCTTTGCACATTGCCGCCTGCGTGACCAAGCGGCCATGCGACCGACTCGCGCGCCGAGGCCCAAATTTAAAATCCCGAAAGCCGCGCAACTTTTTTTTTTTTTTTCGATTCAAAATGTATGGAATGGTTTTCTGTCGACGGACACGAAGAAATCCGACCACCGAGTCATATACAGCTTCGCTGTAAAACAGGACAAGCTAGCAGGAAATAATATCATTGTCTGCTACCTTCACGCAATGTCTTCACCGCTCAAAGTGAAGCATTTTCTACCCAATGATGCGTTTACATCCTCCTGCAACCCGATTACAGTCTGAACGCCAATCAGTGGCCCCCCCTTCGACGAGAATGAGCCAATCAGAATGACGCTCGGACATCGTGGTTCAAAGGTCACGTATGCACAGTCTGAGTGGCAACGAGGGGGAACGCCCGATTCTACCACCGATTCCCTCGGCCAATGGCTGTGCGGCGTCCATTCTGCCCCTCCTCATTGGCCGAACTGATTAAGGGAAGGACCCCGATTGGTGTTTTGAGGGTATCGCGGTGCGGTATATACGCACAGGGAGCTTCTGGGAGTGTTGGAACGACACACCGCCTCGAAGACAAAGCTTCCGCATTACGTCATCGTTGTTGCCGTGTGCTAACGTCGCACTTGTCGTGAGACGCTGAAAGAAGCGCTGTCGAACGATGCTGACGCGAGGCGAGCGGCCGCTGCGTGGGTCCCACTAGTGATGACGTCAGGGAGGGGAAAGGGCCGGTCCTTGTCTTCTAGGTGTCATTGGTTGCAAACGGCGTCAAAACAGATTGAACCTTCCCCCCCCCCCCCCCCCCCCCCCCCCCACACCCAGGGTTTATTTGCCTCGGCCGGTTCCTAAAATAGGCGAGGCCTTCGAGCTAGGCCATAAATTACGCCAACGAATTGGAAGTGCAGAAAGGTAAACTTGGAAAAAGAAATATTGGCGTTGTCATAAAAAAAAAATTATATAATATTTCGTCGCAGGAAAAAAAAGAAAACAAAAATTTTTACGTGCGGGCCGCGCCGCTTTTTTGAGCAGACCCATGGAAGCACATGCACTTCCATGGGAGCTGCGCCACGCGTGATTTTCGATTGCGTGCAGTTAGGATATTGAACAGCAGGCTATAAAGTTTCTCAATGCGCCTATAAGCAGTCGCCGGTTCCGGGCCTGAACTGTCAGATATGTTAGGAAACTATATAACGAAACTCTTGATGGGCTCCCTGAAGACGGATGTTAGATGTACAGTACAGTGCTCACTAAACGTATCCGGATCAGGCGAACGGCGTCTTTATCTCGTCGGAGCACTATCCTGGCGGCAGCCGGAGAAATGCTTCATGACGTAGCGGTAGTGCTCAGGCCCTGCACGGAAGGCCCGCTTGCTCAAAGCCGAAATTTCTGCTGGGCCGGGGACAACGCCGCAATTTTACCTCCGAGGTAGTGTATACGCTTTTCGCTTCGTTAGTAGAAACATCCAACATTTACCGATTGAATCATCCAATCAGTGACTCTTTCGGCAGCCGACATATGCATCTTCGTGCGAAATATGGCGATAAGTATAGCTTGCCGGCCAGTAAAACTGCTGCGGTGTTCACGATCCAGCGAGGGCTACGTCATGGAACAGCCCCTGCTCGGGCTGTTCCATCGAGAGCTACGTCATGATGCAGCCCATAGGCTACCGCCAGGATAGCGCTCTCATGACAAAAGACGCTGATCGCGTGTTTTGGGTAAGTCTAGTGAGCACTGTAGGTATTAAAAACATTCTTTGTCATTTCAACTGAAATTGAGCATAAAATCATGTTTACATTTCGGCCTAGCTATAGTGCTGAGAATATAGTACCCTCGAATTTATAGAGCATGTGACAGAAATAGCAAAACAAGAAAAATAAAAAAAAGAACTCCAGCCAATAGTCGATTAGGGACACAACGCGTCACACGTAGGTCTCTGTGACGTTACAATAAAAAAAAAAAAAAAGAAACGTTTGGGAGAAGAAACATATCCCCTCTTCTGCCTTTCTTAGTGAAAAGACGGTGAGCGTGCAGGCGAGCTGGTGGTAGCTAATCACGTCGTATTACACCTGAGACTGCGGTGGAAGAAATCGGAAGAACTTTCAGTCGAAGGAACAGACACAGAGAACGTCTTCGCACTCTACTTCATCGTTCCGGAAGTATGCATTTCCAATGACATGGGAATACTTTCAATGGTTCTTCGTTATTAAGTCGTTGAAAGACAGTACAGTCATTGATAACGCAAGAAACGCGGGAGGCTTTTCTGAGCTTTGAATCTTTTCCACTTTAACCTCTTGCGGAGCGAATATAAAATGGTCAGGACATGCCACATCGGCCGTTTCTTAAGTTGCCGGTAATTAGAAGTTATGGATATAGAATGGGGGTAAAGTAAAAGTCGGGAATGGCTGGTGTTGGGGGGGGGGGGGGGGGGAGGGGGGTTGTGATGAATTGCCCTTTGCTCTCTTTCACTTTAAGAACCGTAGTAAAAAAAAAAAAAAAAAAAAAAGTCCGGCTGTTTTTGGAGCTTTTTTATTTCCCCCCTTTTATGAGGAGAATACATATGTATGGAGGTGCATTTTAGATTAGATATATGTTATCTTATCAAGACGTGCACGTTTCAAACGCCAAAAGCATCGCTTCTTCCTCCGACAACCAAATCTTCTAAGAACTACTTCGTGCAGCGTATAAACATTACAAACAAAAACTTGCTCTCACTTTTTTTTTTTTTTTTTAGTTTTTTACTGCGATAGCAGTTAGCGGGACACTTTGCAGGTCTCGGGCCGTCTACCGCGCTTCATATCGAAGAGCGGGTCATTTTCGGCACTCCCCCCCGCCAAAAGATTCCATATTGACGTCACGCCGCTTGACACAACCCTGACCTGCTCTGACGTTACACCGCACATCGCGTCACCTGTTACCTGGCGTCATCTGGCACCACGACGTGACATTGCCACGTCAAGTCACGTTGCACATTGACGCCAGGTGACACCGTGAGCCACATGATGTCATGACATCACGTGCCACTGTGACGTCACGGGACATTGAGAGGTCACGTGATGATACGTTGCCACGTGACACCATGACGACACGTAGAAACAATAAACATGAGACTGCTGATAATACAGAGTTTTAGAGTAGGGGCCCCAAAGAAAGAGGGGCTCACCACTGCGCACGCGCCGAACCCAAACTGCGTTTTGGGTATTGGGTTGGCGCTCGCTCCTAACGGAAAATCCAAGAACTAGCGTTTTTTTTTTTTACAGTGATCGCACTACACTTCTTGGCTCAGTTTTTGTGTAAAAGCCTCAGGATTTGGTGCGGTCACGTGTCTAGTGGTCAAAATTGTACAACATGGCGGCACCCAAGTGGGGGGTCACTTTTGCCTGGTGAACGGGATACCAATTTATCGCTCTAAGCCCCCTCTACCCTCGCTGAGTTGAATGCGAAAATATTTGGCGACAGGCGCCCAACGCGGCACACGAGCGCCAAAATCAGCCCGACAAGCGCTAAATTAGAGAGCTGCAAAATGGACCATTCTTGCTGAAAACAGCTATAATATTTACACTGATTTTGTATTGTATTTTAGCCGGATTGACTGGGTTTTGCCTTAATTATTATTTTAATCAAAAAAGACTTTCTAAGCGCATATGTTTTACATTGTTTGATATTTTTATATTTTGATGATTACGCGGCGTTAGCCGCATTGGCGCTGCAAGCGGGAAACTCAAGTGCGCCGCACTGCTGCAGCACTGTGTTACGAAAACCCTATTCCGTCAGCCGGCGTCAGCTACCTTGTTGCGTTTGGGTTCCTTAATTTCTTAGGGGCACCCAAACGTTGACTGACCCCCCCCCCCCCCCCCCCCCCCCTCTAATCCAAAATCGTTACCGCTAATCATGCCAGAAAGGTTCTCGGGCGATTAAAGCTATAGGTGGGTGTTAAGCCGGCGAAACCACGAGCGTGAAATTAGGTGGAGCTACACGCTTGAAACTCGAGGGGCGCAATTTCGGAAGTGTTCTCCAGTGGCCACAAGGGCGGTGTTTGTGTTCAATAACATTGCACAAGACGTTCAGGCAGCCCCCACCAAACGACAGGAAACGGTTCATGCATAAAACAAGCATGCAGTGTCCTCGTTCCCTGGATTTTAAACTGCGGCGCGCGACTTTCGAAGTGTGCTTCAGTTACCACAAGGCAGCATAGTTTGTGTCCAATAAAATTGTTTAAACGGGTTCACGAAATTCCCTCTACTTAAAGCACCCTCAATGGTTCTAAAAAATGAGAATTTTCGTCCGGTGTGTTACTCGCTTTAATACGGAACGCCTATGCGGACTCTATGGTGCGTGCTCACCAACTTTACCGTTCATTCGGTCCATCTGCTCCGAAATGGCACCTTAACTGCTTCGATATCACACCTCAACAGTCGCACAGTGTTTCATCTTACAGGTAGCCTATGTGCTTACCAATTTTTTTCTTGAGGGGACAACGAGTATAAGACTGGTTTCTTCAGTCTCGGACATTACACCATGCCACCCTGATACAAAAACGTAAAAAGAAGGAAAAAAAAACAAACAAAAAACAGACAAAAGAAAAAAAAAAAACTAGATATCATGTGTAAACTCTTGCCAGAGGACGTGCGCTAAAAAAAAATGTTACTATCGAAGCTACATCTAAATAACGATAAAAAAAACCAATCAGAGAAGACCGACATTTTGGTTGGCAGGATGGAAATTCGGGGAGGGACAGCTTTGTAAATAGTGGCGTCTTCGCGAGAGTTACCGCGCCTGTCACTTTCTTTTATTGGCTCTCCCCTCTGAATCGACTTCCCGAAAAAGCCCCGATAGATAAAGCTGTATATATATATTTGTTTGTTTCCTTTAAACCTTGCCATTTTCTGTCTTCTTTTCTTGTTTGGAAACCAAATGATTAGAGGCGGCTATTCTGTCGAACAACTTCGCGGGTGTCGCGTGCAGACTACGCATCGCACAAAAACAAAGAGGTTGATGTCCGGTTTGGTTTTTGCACAGTGGCCTATTTAGGGAAAATTATTGAAGTTCGGAACTATTGAGTCACTCAATATTTTCGATAAATTAACTTTTCTTAACTTGTTGAATTGAAGATAGCGGTATCAATGAGAAACTTTGCTGGGCCATTATCGAAACAAACTCAATCAGTTCCCAGAGAAATATAAAACTCGCGCGCCTAAAGACGACATTAAAAAAAAAAAAAAAAAAACGTTTAGTTTGAATGGGTTTTTGGTTTCGTTTTCCTATCGGAGCGCATATTTGTGCAGGCGGTCCTGTCCCCCTTATCGAGGTCCACAACCTTGTACCCCACTTCCTTCCCTCCTGCAAACTAGGGTATACAGTGACGTGGGAGGCGAAGCTGTAGCTACGCGCCTCGGTCACGTGGGGTAGAACCGTTGGCGCAAAAATTCTCTCCGATTTGGAAACGGAAAAACTAAAAACGCGCCCAAATTGAGCGTTTTCCGTTTTTTTCATTTTTTTTTTACCGCGTTAGCGTTAGAACCGCTTGTTTTGGACGAAAACCTGGCGGTTTCCTCTTCAATTGCCAGCGCCGGGGAGAGGGGGGAGAAGGAGGGGAGAGGGGTGACGCGTGCGACGCTCCCCATTGGTCTGAAAGCGCTGACGTCAGCAGGCGTCAACCTCTCCCTCTTTTTTCCGACGCTGACCAAAACTGACAGACACCGCCGGGTTTTCGTCAAAACGAGCCCTTTCGTTTTCGTCAGTCACGCGCACAGCTAGCTCTGAGCCAGAGAGGAGGGCGGTGCCGCGCAACAACTAGGGATGTCGCGAACCACCCTAGGTTTTGATTTCGAAAGGTTTCGATATTTGCGAAGCGAACTAAGGTTCGATTTCGAAAAATTTCGATATTTTTGTACCGACCGAGGTTCGATTTCGAAAAATTCGCAACTTTTGACCACAGCTGAGTTTCGAATTCGAACATTTCGAAGCTTTCAACGGTTTCTAAAATTCGAATTCGAATATTTTTTTTATCTTCAGGCTCGATAAATTCGAAGATTTCGAAATTCTTTGTAAAAAAAATTTGAAAACTTCGAACGCTTTCGAATTTTTTATAGACATGAAGTTCGAAACATTCGAAGATTTCGAATTTCTTTTTGCATAAAGTTCGAAAAGTTCGAAGGTTTCGATTCTCTTTTAACGCTAATTTGAAAAAAAAAAAAAAAAAAAACTTCGAAGATTTTGAATTTCTTTCTAATCCAAGTTTTCAAAATTCGAAGTCCGATTTCAAGTTTTTCCACAGTTTCAGTTTCAAATAACGTTTCTCACGACTCCACTGGTTTTCACAAAATCAAGTTTAGAAAAGTTAGGGTGTGATATCTAGATTCTGCAAAGTTGGTCAGGCAATTAAATGAGACGACGAGTGTCTCGGACGTGCTAGAATA